TGCAATAAAGCAAGGTCCGTAATTATGAACACCGACTTGCAAGTGTCTACTTTGAAATACTGACTGTAAATAAATCTAAGGCACGATGTTTGTAGATAATCGCGATCCTTTTTACATTTTATCGTTTTTTCTTTTCCTTTTTTTTTTTTTTTTTTTTGTTTGTTTTTTCTATCCTCAATGTGGATAGATGCTAATTTATTACATTTGTAGTTACAAGCGTTAAATTACTCGCAACACTCGTGGAAAGTATCTTGGCAAAAAATGGCGAAACAACGCAAAGCATTGTCAATGAACAAAACGTCGGAGAACTAGCGAGACGCGTCTCCATACGATGACAACAATGTACAGTTTCGAAGAGAAAGTAATCGGAAAAAGTTTCAACGATATCGCGTGATCAGTCAAACAAATGCATACCGTGACGAATAGGATTGCCGCAAGCTGTGTGCCAGTGAACCGTGGCAACAGTGTCTCGCAGACTCATTTCAGATCAATTTCGGTGGAAGTTTTACAGCCGTGCGTAAATGTATTAGTGGCAGTAGGAAAACTGATTGATTTATAGGGATACAAGTATCAGGCTGAGAGCGGCAATTTCATTGAATGGAAATCGCACAGAGATCGTGAATTTATGTGCAGGAAATGTCCCGCGTCTATTGTTCGTTTTGTACGAAAAATCCGCTGGTATCGAGATTGTGGACGATCTTCGACGTTGACAAAACGTCGTTCGACAATCATCTGTGTCGTCTTAAAGTGGAATAATAGCCTTGTGGTCCTTATGAAACTCGTAACTCGTACGCGGTGATTACCAGTGACGCGCTCTACACTCGATTTCAATGCTCGCGACCGGTGTTATATTCGTGACTTCTCGCTGAATCACGTTGATTTCTTCTGGTTGAACTCTCCTCTCGTTATTTCCTCGCAATCGCGGCAAGCGATGTTTCTTGCGACCACCGTGAGAAGCAATATGTACATATTATTTTTCTGGAGCCGCGTGTAATTCTCGTTCCGAATTCTGTTCCCAGATTCTCGAGATAGAATTCACGTAGAATTTTAGATAGTGTGATTTTAAACATAAATATTATATGTCATTGGAATGCGTTATTATAGGAAGTACACGACAATGAGTACCGAGCCATTTTGCACACATTTTTAGCCTACAGGTAGGACATAAATATTTGAGATTTAATTCTTGGCAATGTGAAAAGTTTCGTGTCACGGTCGGCCAACAGATATTTTATAATAAAACTTAATTCTTACGAATACTTCGATATTTTTGTAATCTGGAATCTACATGTCTCGTCAATTTCACATATGACAAGATGCAGAAAAACTTCACTTTCTTCAACATTTTTTCTCGAAATTAATCGTTTCTTATCATTTTCTTTCTACCGGACAAGTAGCGAATTCCCCAAAAAATATTGCCGCCATATCGTTGGCATTTACATTTATTTTTGAAAATTGTCTTCCCTATCCCCAGTGTGACACGGCTTGAATTCGTCAGTTTCCCACGTCATTGAAACGCTATACATATGAAATACTTCTGGCGACGTTTCGCAATTTATTATGCACCACGCACCTGCCTGATTTAAGTGGCCCTAGATGTACGCGGGTGCTTATGGCAATAAGTCCTGGCTCGAAAACGAAGACGAAGATGTACTGCGAACACGGTAACGCCATACTCTTGGGAAAGTGCATGTATATGTCGTTGTTGAAAGCAAGCTAAGTTTCTTAACATCCACAGGTGCGTGAACGTTACGAGGAACGGGCAGAAATTACGTGAATTGAATACGCTCGCGAGTAAAACGCGACTATGGTTTCATGGAATGTTCGTTACGTTCGGAAACGTGTGAACATACGTATCATTCCCCGATTTCTAGAATCTTCATGTCTTCATTCATTTTGAAAGGCAGAATATTATGATTTTGATGAGAGCAGAAGGCAGGTTGCTCCGATATTTGTCGGAATGAAAGATTAAAATTATAATTCAGATCAACGCTTACTATTTCTCCTTTCGTGAAGCATGAAAATGAAATTGAAATTAAAATCTGCGTCCAATTATATATTGTCGATCGTTTCATTGTTTATAATAAACATTGTTTTCTACGAAATATTATGGCACAACCAAACTTCATTTTCAACGATTAATTATATAATTATGATAACATCTCGATTAAGAGTTGTCGGGTACATCAAGTTTCCTTCTCAAAAATGCCTAATCAAGTACGAGTTACACTACCGTACATGTACTAAAAAATATTAAAATAAATCGAAAATTAGAATTGAGTCTAGCTTTAAAATTGAAATTAGAATTGAATCTAGGACCTTGTGAAATTTGCTTCAGTTTAGGATCTTCTATTGAAAAGAACTGTACGTGCTATATGTTGCTTTGTCTTCGAGATGTAGCTTCGTTCCCGTTTCGTATAATTATTCGTTTCCCATTTTATATAATTAATCAACGATTAATTATATAATTATAATAACATCTCGATTAAGAGTTGTCGGATGCATCTCTAAAAGTATTATCCAAGTTTCCTTCTCAAAAATGCCTAATCAAGTACGAGTTATACTACCGTACATGTACTAAAAGATATTAAAACAAATCGAAAATTAGAATTGAATCTAGCTTTAAAATTGAAATTAGAATTGAATCTAGGACCTTGTGAAATTTGCTTCAGTTTAGGATCTTCTATTGAAAAGAACTGTACGTGCTATATGTTGCTTTGTCTTCGAGATATAGCTTCGTTCCCGTTTCATTCGTAAAAGCGAATGGGACCGGATGAGTCACATTGTTATGCAAAATCTCGGCGAAACGAACGTACAACAAGCGAGGCAAGGATCAAAAGTCGTTTGCGGTTGAAAGGATCGCTGAGTAACGATCGTAGGCTGACACGGGTAATCCGTCGACGAACATTCTATTCAAGCAGCATCGAAAGCACATTGGTGCACGGAAACCCACGCAACGAACGTATTCTTACATCCGCGCGTCGTCTCTGCTTTATACGTTTACATTCACACACACTTGTTTATTGTTCAACCATGCTAACCAATTCCGACAACATCGCGCTACCGGTGAAACGGTGTCTCGATAGCAACACAAAACCAACAGAAACTCACGATTCGAAAGAAAGGGAGAAATTCGCGCGAGTGTTAAATTTAAATGACGAATTCACGTTCACGATCTGCTACAATGTGTGAAATATATTGAATATTGAAGAATCTACGATAGCGAATTTAGACTTAGATTTAAACTTCATTTTTACCCTATTCTTTAAATTTTAATCTACTGCAATGTGTAAGAATTTACCTGTTTGAGCTTCGATAGCGAGATTTCTTTACTTTAGACTGTTGCTCTGTTCTTCAAATTTCGATCAGGTCTAATTACATTTTTCAAATGCTAGTGAAATACTAGTGTATAGTATGAAAACAGTATATAAATGTAATATTGATGTAATAGAAACAAAATATAACAGAAATGAAATATGTTTGATATAATAGAACAAATATTGTGCTATATGTAAAACATACTTACACATTTATCTATTTTACCAATACAATCATTACATAGTCTCATCACGATATATCAATGAAAATTATAAGATGGAAAATCATGCATCCGAATCTGTCGTGAATAAAATTTTACTATATAAAAATTTCCATCTAAAAAAAAAAAA